GTTTCTTCTTTAACCAGTAATTGAAATAGTTTCTTCTTTATTCAGTAGTTTAGCATGAAGAGTTTCTTTATTCAGTTGTTTAATGAACAGTTTCTTCTTTAACTGGTAATTGAAATAGTTTCTTCTTTAATCAGTAGTTTAGTTTGTAGATTTTCTTTATTCAGTAGTTTAGCATGAAGAGTTTCTTTATTCAGTAGTTTAGTTTGAAAAGTTTCTTTATTCAGTAGTTTAATGAACAGTTTCTTCTTTAACCGGTAATTTAAAGAGTTTCTTCTTTATTCAGTAGTTTAGCATGAAGAGTTTATTTAATCATTAGTTTAATGTAAAATAGTTTCTTCTTTAATCAGTGGTGAAATGTTAAGAATCTTTTCTTTATTCAGTAGTTAATTTTGAAAAGTTTCTTTATTCAGTAGTTTAGCATGAAGAGTTTCTTTATTCAGTAGTTTAGCATGAAGAGTTTCTTTATTCAGTAGTTTAGCATGAAGAGTTTCTTTATTCAGTAATTTAGCATGAAGAGTTTCTTTAGCCAAGTTGTGAAACTCGATAACAAGACCACACACGGGTCAAAGATCATATTAGGACACAGACATACGGAGCTGGACTTTGTGTTTGCATTGCTCATTATATTGTACCATGTTTATTTGTCGTGTACTGATAGATATTTATGCACCTATAAAACTGTACAGCCTTGATTTTACTCAGACCAAAGTAAATGTATTATTCTTAAATGTAATGATCATGTCTTATGATTAATATATTTAACATATTTTCATCCAGCAGCTGACCATGTTTCATAAAAGCATAATAATCCAAATGAACAGTAATATTTAATTGGTCCCAACTGTAGGCTCTTGGTAAAAATACATATTAAATTCTAACATGAATTGCAGGCGTGTATTTTTCAGCATTAGCAAAGACTTTGATCGCAGCTCATCCAATCAGAATAAAGAGTCAGAACTATAAATATTTATCTTGTAAACACGGAGTTGTTTAATGAGAAAGTTTTTTGTTGAGTCAGTAGTTTAATTTGAAGAGTTTCTTTAATCAGTAGTTTAATGTGAACTCTTTATTAATATACATATTACATTTGAACACAAATTACAGGTGTTTATTTTTCAGCATTCTCAGAGACTTTGATCACAGAATATGGAGTCAGAACTATTAATGTTTATCTCGTAAGCACTACGTATACAGAGATGCACAGTGCTTTTTAAAAGCGAGTATTTGTAGTCTTCCTTCCTCATTTTTTCTTTCTTTTTCCCCACTCTCTTATACCTTTACCCAGTGTCTGTTTGGTTATTGTCCACCCACGTATATCCCATGATCCTTACTTCCCTCGAGTCAGGAGAGAGCGTGTCCGGCGGGCTGGAAACCACCTCAG